CTATATGAACTCCAGATCAGAAGTACACAACCAGCAAATGACTCTCTTTCCTTCCTTTCATGCTGCAGAATTACCCCAGACCGTAAATCATATTATTTCCTGTCAGTTCTCCCAACAGCAATGTCTGACTAATGTTTCAGCTTTGTGGTACTACAACACTAAGTTTTTTTTCATTGAAACACATACCCAGCTTCCCCTCCTGCTTGTCATTTTAATCCCTGCCAACTTCCAGATCTCCAAAGGCAGAAAACTCCCTTTCCCAGTTACACAATAGAATAATATTCTTAAAGCTGTAGCAAAGGGTTGAATTATTGTAACCCTTGGGTAATAAAAAGTACAGTAGTATGTTAAGTTGCAGGGTTCCCTTCTCAGCTGTCAGCATTCACTTTTTAGGATGTGAGATGGGAAGGGGAATAACTGTCTGACCTAGGAAACCCCAGAGAAGTTCTGCACTCATGACATTTCCATCAGCTGCACGTTTTCCTCGCAATCTGTTTTTCTACATTTGTTTTCCCTTGACTATTAACCCTCCTCTGGCAGAACCTCTCTAAACCCATTTGTAATGGACTCATAAATCAGGGCTCTGTGACAGCAAGGTGTGCTGGGGGGGAGAAAAAGAAATTGCACACTTAAGAACCAATCAAAGGCAATAAAACCTGAAGACAGACAGTCATAAAAGGTCAAAGATTTTTAAAAGAACAAGACACTGATGCAGACTTCATCCTCCTTCTGCTGAGCTACTTTTACCCTTGTCTTTTTCGGTTGGGATGGGATCCAGCAGCTTTTATTACCTCAGACCCTTCTGACCACACTGTGTGTTCAGTGACACGTCCAGCCCAATCTGCTGCGGTCCAGACCAAACAGCCACTTGGTGACACCGCTCCTTCCACGAGTACCAAGTGAGGAGGATTAAAGATTAAAATAAAAGCAAGGAGGGATGCAGCGGAAGGCTTTAGCAGAAGCTGCTGGCCTGTCTCCCCCAGCTCCCCCGTAATCTGTGCTTATTTACAGAGCAATTGTACGAGTCACGTCACAGCTCTTGAGTCAGCGACTCCTCCTCGGAGACGTTTTCCTGCACAGCATCATTTGCTTCATTGTGCTCTGAAATAACTTTTAAATACAACTGAGCACAGCAGCAGCAGCCCCAGTTAATGACTGAGAACACTTTTACAGCTTGTTTTCTAAATTCAAGCCAGTTGTACACACTGCAAATGCACCTGCACGCCTGCCAAAAAATGAGGGGTCTACTCTGAACAGCTTTTGTTCCACATTGCTTCCAGAAAGCACCAAACTTCAGACAGACAAGAGCTCATGAGGGATCTCAACTTTAAAGAGGTTCTCCAGGAATGAGGAACTCCCACATCTGCTCCAAAGCCTCATGCAGAGGAACTAAAATAATCTAAGGGAAGGAGAGCAATGAGGCAGCTTAACTTTCCTTGGCACCAGCTGCTGACACTGGATACTTCTCATCATGTCAGGCTGACAGCACAACTATGGCAAGGCCTAGGCAGATTAACGCAGTAGCAATGGGCTTCTACCAAAGAGATCTTCTCCAGACAAGCTCAGTGATCAGTGTTTGCAAGATCCTTGTTTGTGCTTTACCTTGAGGCAGTTCTTCCAAGTACCCTCTCAATCAGATGTTGGATCCGACTTCCCTCCCTCGTTCCTACCTCCAAACCAGGAGGTTCTGAGGTTGCTGTTCTCTGTCCACAGCACATCACCCAACATCCCAACTCAGCTCTAACACAATTATCAAGTGAGTTATAACACACTGAAGGCATTTCCATCCATGAGCTTCTAACAAACCCAGAGCTGCCTGCAGCCTAATCTCATGGAGCAAATTGTCAAAACATTTTACATCTATGGAGAAGAAACTACAACCTCTGATTGTTTGGAGTAGGGCACTTGCCTGTGACTGCCTAATTGCTTGGGAAGTAAGAATCCAGCAGCTCTAGGAGTACGTTCTGCAGGTGGTTTACACTCCTTGTAGCTGCTTTTTACCTCGATGAAGTTCCTGTTAGCACATCTACAAAGGTGCACAGCACACAGCCAAAAGTTTAACATTTCCTTGGCACCTCCTCCTAGCAAGGACGCATTTCCAGTTGACGCCTATTTGCATATTTGATACTTCCAAAACTAATTTACTGTTTATCGCCTTAATTTATATAAATCCAATGTGAGTCTCCGTCACCTCTCCAAGGGAAAGAGCCACCACTCACAAACAGAAGAGCAGGATGGACCAGCACCAAGGATTTCTGGGAATGGCTATTCATATGACCTTTTGCCAGGATCACTAATGACTTCTGCACCAGCATTTGTCTTCTGGGTAACAGAAACAATGCTTTATTTATTAAACTTGTCATTGAACATGACAATGCAATTTACTGGCTTTTATCTGGTGCCAAGCATAAAGTTTGCAAAAAGTCATTTCCCAGTAAATTGTAGCGGGGAGTGACTATGCAGTGTTAGCCCCACGTGAAAGAAGAAAGTGGGGGCTGCAGAGGAAAGTTTCACAGATTGCAAAAAACATCTCTAACTTTGACAAATGGGATTGAAACACTCAAGGTGACTGTAGAACTGACCAACTTTGCTAATAAGATTTAATTAGACAGATGTTACTGTACATGAATTTTTTCCCCACTTTAAGTCTGATTTTAACACAAAAATACTGTTAGATCTAACTACAGATAGAAGATCTTAGCTAAACAAAATGGAAATAGCCTGTTGGAGCACAGCACTGAAACAAGACCTTGTCCTAGTTTTGCAAACACCTTATGAGGAAGCTGCAACATCTGCAAAGGGTTTCGTGCCCAGGAGAGGTGTAGAGTGTGTACATACCCCAAAGACAGACACCCACAGAGCTCTACTGGCAGTGAAACCACTCAGTAATCCCTAACGCATCAGGCAACTGCAGGTGCCTCTCAGTATTTCCTGGAGACTGGGTTCAACACTGTACATCAGCCACTTTCTGCAGCTTCAGAACCCTGTGGCACATCTGCAGGGGTTGTGCAGTCCAGCCTTGCTTTCTGAGAGCTGCCCACACCCCGGTCTGCTTGCCCTGACCCACAGCAGGTCTGTGCCCATGCACAGGAAACCCCCACAGGATCCTCTTCCTGACCCTGCAAGAGCTCCAGTGCCACTCCCCGCTGCAGGATCCCTCTGGCCAGCTCTGAGCTCCAAGCCTGCAGGCAGATCCCAAATTACTGATTAATTTCTCCCCCCCATCCTCCCCCTCCACTGCTTCGTTCTTGCTCTGTGAACCTGCAGCCTGGGTTAGTTCAGGCTCTGAATCAGCCCATGTAGTGCCTGTGGTGGTTCACCAGTCTGATGACCTGGTTTCCACAGTCTTCCTGCCTTCCATTCAGGTATTCCTGAGGAGCCACCCAAATCTGTCCCTAAGGAAGGTCTGTTTAATTTTTTACAGAGGGTAATTATTGCATTTCTTTAAATTGAAACTACAGGTACTACAAACACATCAGCTCTTGAGATTCAACCCTGCCATTTGCCAACCTGGCCATCTGCAAACATGTAGTTTGTGATGCTTTCTTTTAATCCTGTTAATGCCCAATGACCTTTTCAAAATGCTCTTTTATTCTTGGTTCATGTTCCAATCAGCCTGGTCACAAAAGTTTTGGAACTGCTCAGTTGAAATGGAGAGGTTTTTTCTTGCAGAAACAGCCAAGTTCAGCAAGTTGGTCCCAGCCTGACAGATCCAGGTTCTCCTTGCAGTCAACTGCAACTTGAATTTTGTTCTATGAGGAATTACATCCAAAAAAAAAAAATGAGAAAAGGCACCTGCTGTACTTCCAAGGTGACAGCAAACATCACATGCTCATGGCAACACAACTAACACACATTGAACGGCCCAAACTCGGGATGGTGCTGTGTCTCAGCCTCTCAGAGCTGCAGCTGCCTGGCTCTACGTGCAAACTCAGCATCTTTCTGTCCTGGAGGCTGTAGCCAGGGTTGTAAATTCATGAGATTACTCTGGCAGTAACCAGATGCCTGGCAAGGCAGGGAAGGGGCACAGGGGATCTCTCATCAGCCTCATCCTGAGCACTCTCCCATTACCTAAAAGGTCAAAAAAGTAGGTTAATATGCCTTTTGCCTGGATCTTGCACCAAGTACTTTGCTGACTGTCCTGCAGTCCTGACAGTCCAGTTTTGCCCCAGGAATCCAAGTTTTGAACTAGGAAGCTCATAGTTTGACATACACACAGGCAGTAGGAAGACCACACCCCCAGTTAACAACATATTCATGCTTCCCAGAATTCCTTCCCTCATTTCCCAGCCTTGCCTATTCTTGGAGTCTTTCCATGCTTTCCTTGCCACTGCTGACCTGCCCTCGATTGCACCTGCAGACAGGCAGTGTGGGACCAACACCACAGATAATTCTGCAGAACTTTTAATCAATTCAAGCAGCAGAGCCAGTTTCTGCACGAGCAGAGCCTCACCTGGGATGTGCCACCTTCAACCCACACCAGATTTCTCTGTCACTCTAATCTGAAGTTAACAGTTATTCCATTTGGCCAGTTTTCCCCCTCCCCAAGCTCTGGAACAGCCCTGCCTGGACTCATGGCTGCTGAAGCTGTGTTTGACCATCCAGTGGGGCACTGTCAATGCTAAGCCAAGATTGCACCCAAATGTCTCTGTGATGACCCCTAAACGTGCAGAGTGACAGCACTCAGCGGAGAAATACAGCTTTAACTGCTGTGGTCAGCACAGTGAAGTGATATTTTACCTCATTCTTCCATTTCATGGCTCTCTCCTCCTTTGAATTAACTCCTCAAAAGCCCCAGCTCTCGTTTCTGGAGCCTGTCTCAGGTTGCAGCCCAGGCTCACAGCCAGACCCCACCACCTGGGCAGGCAGAAGCTTTTTAAACCCTGATCTTTACCAAAGCAAAAATGATCAGGGAAGGCAGGACATCATCTTCAAACTCAGCAGTTTGTCTAATGGAAAACACAGAAAGTAACACCTGAAGAAATGCAAACAAAATTCCCTGAAAGAATAAGGAGTATTTTATTTGTGGTGGCTTTAGGCAACCACTAAGCTTCTGTCTTCAGTGCAGTCTCAACCCTTTTTCCTTCCACACACAAAATCCTCTTAAGTGCTGTTTTCCGTCTTGTTTCAGCTGATGCTGCTAAAATTGTGAGATCCTGAGTTCTGCTTTCACCCAGGCTGGTAACCCTCCCACTCTGCAACAAGGACGTGATTGACATTCCAAGTCAATGCACCAGGAAAGAGCTCAGCTCCACTTTCTGTAACCAAAAGTCCTGGAGGACATTCTCCTCAGACTCAGGGACACAGCCCTGGCAAGGACAGGCTCTGCAGCACGGCTGCAAACACCTGGAGTCCTGTCCCAAGGGTTTAAACCCAGAGTCAGGACTCCTAAACCAACCCTGCACTGAGAACAATACAGGCACACTGATGAAATATAAGGTTTAATTTGCATAGAGCAAGAAGAAAGGACATCACTTATGAGCAGAGCAGCCAGGTAAGTCAAGTGCCTGCAAATCCATTCCCCATTTCTTCAACCCACCTTGAAAGGTGCAACACAAGGAGCACAAACTCAAGGCAAGCTGAGTATTTCCTTCCAAACCCTGGAAAAGGAAGGGAGGGCAAAACACCAGCACCAGATAACACAAGGAAGTTAAGCTCCTGGTTGATGCCAAGTGCCAGGCCACCACTGCAGGAAACACAGCACAAGGTATCACCTAATGCAACTAAAGTCATTCCAAACAAAAGCCTATTTGGGGCACAAATAAGGAATAGTTTTTAATTCCTCACTCAAAGCTTGGCTGTACCTAAAAATTCAAGAGGGGAGGATTCCACTACATCTGGCATTACTCAGACAGCACCCGTTCTGGGAAATTATATCTTAATTAGAGAACAAGCAAAGCCCCTTCCTCAAGTACCCCATGTTTTCTCTCCATAATAAATTCCCTCAGTTCAACTAATAAGGAAACATTTTTAAAACTTACTCAACCCACATTCCCCCTTGTGTTCCAGGAAGGAAGTCTCAAAAGCTCACCTGTGTCTCATCTACCACTTCCCAAGACAACCTGTTTGGAGGCAATCAGGATTAATAAGTGAATTCTGGCCACGAGACAAGGTCCAGGTGACAGGAACCCTGAATTACTGAAGCTCCAGTAAGTCCCAACAGCTTTACACTCTGCAGTGGCTCAGTTCCAGCTCTCAGCCAGGTATCTACACAGAGTATTTGGTCAATTCTCACAGAAAAGTCAACATGAGCCCCTCAGTCAAAGACTATTAAATGATTAAGAAGGCATCACGCAAAAGATGAAGAAAAAAATCAGTTTATACTCTGGTTTAAAGTGGCCACACCTCCATTGCACTGCCCGGGGTTCTTGATCTTTATCTTCTAATTAACACAACTATTCAGAAAACAAAATGTGGGGTAAAGCCCAGCTAGAGAGAGCAGGAAGCTTGGGAAAAGCTTATACTGGTCAGACATATTAATTGCTCCTTCCAGGATGAAACCTCAGTGGTTAAAGAAATTAAAATATGAAATCCCATGTTTTTAAGTGAGATTTGTTTTCACCCTTATTCCAGGAAGTGGCAAAGGATTAGGAAAAACTGAATGGTAAACATGCTTTGGACCTTGTGCATTAAGGAGAGAGACAAAGATTTATTTGGTTGAGGGTTTTTAAATTTCAGGACTCCTTGCATGACTCAGTGAGAAAGTAGGAAAGTTCATGCCCTTTATAAATCACTCTATAAAGTGATTGAATAAAAAAATACCAAAAAAACCAGAAGATGAACATCATTTTCAGTGTCTCCTACTTCTGTAATTATCTCTTTTGCCTGAAAAAAATATCCTTGAACCACACTGAATGAAAGGGAGGTAGAAAAACAGGGCTGAGCACGGATGGAGCTCTGAGCAGCCTGGCCTGGTGGAGGGTCCCAGCCCATGGGAGGGCCCGTTAAGGGCCTTCCAACCCAAACTGCCCTGTGATTCCACAGCCCCAAACTGCAGCTTACTCTGGCTGGACAGGCACCTTTCACTGCTCCAGCACAACTGCTCTCCTGAGCAGGCACTGAACACACCTGTATTTCACTCTGACAAAGCTCCACCACGGCCTGCACCAGCTCAGGGGGGAAATCCCAGCAAAACACTTCTCTACACGTTTATTTAGTGGAGTAAGGAGCTATTTGGACTTGACCAAATATCCCCCCCAAAGGGCAGACAGGAAAATAAACACAAGCATTGGAACTGCACAGCAACTTTGCAGTCTTTATTTATTTAGATATTTATTATCTAAGTTATTATAGACCATCTGGGTATAAACTTGAGTTTTAGGGCTTTGGGGTGACCTAATTGTGGGCTTTCAGTACCTGAAAGAGCTGACAGGAAAGATGGAGGTAGACTGTTTACAAGGGCCTGGAGTGACAGGAAAAAGGGGAATAGCTTCCAACTGACAGAGAGGAGGGTTAGATGGGATATTGGGAAGGAATCCTTCCCTAGGAGGGGGTGAGGCCCTGGTACAGGTTGCTCAGAGCAGCTGTGGCTGCCCCATCCCTGGGAGCGTCAAAGGCCAGGTTGGACAGGGCTTGGAAGAAGGTGGAAGGTGTCCCTGCCCGTGGCAGGGGGTGGCACTGGACGGGCATTAAGGTCCCTTCCAACCCACCCCATTCTGGGATTCAATGGTCCATCAAAGCCAAACTGGCCCAGCACAGAGCACTGGGGAGCACTGCATGATGATGTGCAACCCACAGTTCCCCAGCAATCCTTCACACAGGGAAGTCAAGGGATGGAAGGAAATCAAAACTGACAGCTGTGGAAGCACAAACTGAATAGGGCAGCAATGTCTCCTTCCCAAAGAAAGTCATTTCTCAACTCAACTACAGTAATAAAGACTAAAAATAGGCATTCAAAAGAGCTGAGCTGCACTTTCATTTTGTTTCACTCCCAGATGTCAACTAGTCCCATATCAGCACATATATTTACCATTTGAGGAAATCCTGTTTGAACAACTTCAGCTTGTGCATGCTTTTCCTTCCCTACTCAACCACAAGATTAAGCACCAGTGCAATGGCAGCATTCCCCATCCCAGTGATACCCTCTGACTTGATTATTTTGGGAATGTGCTGTTTAGGATAACATTTGGCTAAGGTCACCCTCTTGGCTTGGCTGATAAAACAGACTCCACCAAACAGCTGAAGCTGGTGTTTCTTAGAAGGCACGAGATGCAAAGGCCTTGCTGTGGACACTGCAAACATACCCTGAGCTCTCACACAGGGGGGGTGTCAAAAGGGACAGCCAGGTTAGAGATGGGCTCAGACTCCAGACAAACAACCCCTTCCCTGAAAAACTCAGTGACTGAGCAGCTCCTGAGGTTGGTGTGCTGGGTGTCACTGTCACATCACACCCCCTGGGCCATGTCTCTGCCCTTCTCAGCTGCCTCTCAGATCCTACAAGGATGATGCCAGTCAGCACACACAAGACAAACTGACTTTATGGTTGACTGAATCATAAATTTTCCTAAAATTGTCCTCCTTTTCCTCAACAGTTGCATAGCAGAAGAAATCCCTGCTAACATGATCAGACCAGTTTATGTAACCCTGGAAAAAGGGATTTATTTTTTACAAGGAGTAACTGGATTCCATCCATTCATAGCCCACAGTTCCAGAAATCTCAGCCAATCCACTCTCCCAAGTCCTGCTTTCCCTGAACAGTGCATTTTGTTTATTTTTAGCTCAGGAGACACATCCATCCAGGCAGTTTTCAAGCTTCATGTGCTGCCCTGCCCTGTTTCACTCAGCACCTGACTGAAATGTGGACACAGTTCCAAGTTCTCCCTCCAGTTTCCAAGGAGCAGGGACTTGAAACAAAGTCCCATCTCTGCTCTGCACAGATATTAGTAACCCTATGGCACCAAAAAGGTGTTTGACCCAAAGTGCTGCACCACACCAGCTGCCCCCAGCTCTTCTCTGCAATAACAGGGCCATTACATTATTTTAATGATCTATTTCTGTATCCTAGCCTCAGACAACTAAAATTAGAGATCCTGGAAGCACCCTAAAGTCTGGGTTTGCACTTGAGTTGAAACTGGAAGCTACAGGTTCTTCCCTGAAGTCCACTCAGTACTGGAAACCACCACATCCTGCTGGACGTTCTGATCAAATTTCTCCTCTGTGATCTCCATGACTAAATGTGAAAATATCAGAAGGCAGCATAAGCTTTTAAAACTCAGGAAATTTCCAAAGGATTTGTGCTCTGCTTCTTTCAGAAGACTGGCAGTTATACTGACACCCTGACTGCAGGTTTTTATATCCCCTTAAGGAGGTCAGTACCATCACTGTTACTGTAGTTGAGGCCTCCTTGTTTCCCTTGCCCTCTTCTCCTGGGAGGAATTTTGCCATGGTAGAAGTCAGGATAGTCTGCTGGAAATCCAATTTCGAATTCCACAGCCAGGCCTCACTTAGAGATTTCAGGATGTTAAAAGAAGCTGCACAACTGCAGTAAGATGCTCCCTCCTGTCAGAAGACAGGTACAGCACCTGAACCCATGAAAGGAGGAGAACTCTGATCTCAACTCTTCTTCACCTTTCACCTGACACTAAAGATCTTTATCCAGCATGAGACAAAAAAACATACAGCACTGCCTCTGAAATTCTGATGGTTGAAGGTAAGAAGGCAAGGATTACACTTCTTTGGTTATCACCATTTGTATTGCTGGTCTCAGGGTTGTTCTTCTATAAACCAAATACATTTGCACATTCTGAAATTGTTATACTGGAAAACCTAAACTGCAAATTTCCAAACAGCATAAGGTGATGTGATTTCCTACAAGCGATTCCATCCATGAGGGGGCTGTGGAAAAGCCCTGTCCACAAACGCAGGGAAGGGCCTGCCTGTGCAGCTCCATTTTATCCCTGCCCCAGCTCGGAGCTGATGGAATCTGCTGGCTCCACACAGCACCAAATTCAACGATTTGTGCCCTGGGCTAATCCATCCAGGAGACACACGGCGGGATGAAGATTCCCCGCGGCTGAGGAAACGGGAGGTTCTCCGTGGGGGAAGGAAAAGTTGAGAGCCCCGCGGAGGAGCAGCCCAGGCTGCAGCACCCCCTGCTCCGGCTGCGCTTGGCTTCCCTGCATTTCGCAGCGTCCAGGAGCTCCCAGCACAGGGAACACCAATCCCGCCTCCCCACGGGGGAGAGAACTTGGATTTAAGCACAGCAGCACCAGCGGATGAGCCCAGCGATAGCCCGGGCGGTACCACCCGCCGCCAAAGCGGAACCGCTCCCGCCGGGATCCTGCAGCCTTCCCTCCGGAAATATCGCCCGGACCGGGCGCAGGGACCGGGCAGGGACGCCCCGGGCGGGCCCTCCCGAGATGAGGCCCTCCCGCCCCTCAGGCCCGGCAGCACCGCCCGCCCCTCCGCTCCCCGCTCCCTCCCGCCACCCCGGGGGCAGGCCGGGCGAGGCGTCTGGAGCGCGGGGGCGGCCGCGGGTGGCGCGGAGGGGCCGCTCTCACCATGTCGGCGGGGCGGGTGCGCGGGGCGGGTGAACGGCGGCGCCTCCCGGTCCGTCGCTGTCGCTGCGAGGCCGCGGCCCGTGCGCTGCTTCCGCCGCCGCCCGCCCGGGAACATCCGGGTCAGCCCCGCCCCGCGCCCCGCCCGCCAATCAGCGCCCCGCGCGCCCGCCATCGCCAAGTATGGAGCGCGCGGGCCGGGAGGAGCCACTGCCGGGGGGGGGAAGGGGGAGCCATTGCCGGGGGGCGGGAGGAGCCATTGCCGGGGGGGGCGGAGGGAGCCATTGACGGAGGGGGCGGGAGGAGCCATCGCCCCGCGGGGGGGGGAGGGAAGGCGGCACCAAGTGCCGCGCGAGGTGGGACGGACGGACGGACGGACGGACGGACGGGCGGGCAATGAGGGGCGGGCCGGGGCCTGTCGGGGCGCTCCCCGGGGCGGGCCCGTTCTCGGTCGATGCCGGTGCCGGAGCGTTGGCGCATTCAGATGACCCTCAGGGCTGAACGAAGGCACCCGCCAACCCCGTAGCAACGTTGTGGCAGCCGGCCCAGCGCTGAGAACTGGGCTCTCCGGAGGTGAACTGCACTTCACACGCCACTGCTGGTGCTGCTCGCAACGCACCCGCCAGCTCTGCAGTGACACGGAGAAACAATCAGCCTCCGGCTGCTTAGGGCCAGGGATGATTAGTGTGAAAAGGAAGTGTTCGGCGTTCTCTGGAAGCTCAGCAAGCCAGTGCCTGCTGCAAGTGGGCAGATGCTGACAGA